GGAGGGATTCTCTCATGCATGCTCTGCCATGCCAACCCACTCCCACAAGGAAATCTGGAATGAAGTCGTGAAATGTTGTCATCCATATGGTTGTTTTCAAGCACACTGGAGACAGGTCTTGAGAATAACCAGGGATGTGCCTCTGGAGTGGCTTTACTGCCGCATTTCCAGCTTTTGCACGTGCGATTGGAAGCAGGTGGGCAGGGCATGCTCAAGAGAGTCACCCCCAGGAGCACCAGAGACTTGGTATAGACATACCCGTATAATTGGCCAACTGTTCCTATCTCAGGATCATGTAGACCAGTGTTTCTCAACCCATGAGTCACAACCCAAAAGTGGGTCACAAGAATATATGAAAGGGTTGTGAACAAACTTTAAAAATGGATTATTTAAAGGAGAAAAATGTGGGTAGAGCCAGGGGGCTGTTTGCTACTTAACTATTTACTGGGTCAGGACTGGCAATCAGTGTTTACAAATGGATCCTGGTTCAAAAAAAGTTGAGAACCACTGATATAGACCATTCCTTACCACCGCAGCCAGCTGCCACAGTGCAGAAAACCACAGCCACCACAAACACTCAACATTGATGGGTTTTTTGCCTTCTGAATTAGAATATAAAATGGGCACAAAAAAGTAAAAGGCAGCCAAGTCAGAACCATTTTCACTGTTCTCCACTCCTCCCAAAGGGCTCAATGGGACTGTTTTGGCTGGTTTCACACATTATTGTTTGTTTCAAGGTTTCTTCTCCTTTTGTTCCTCTGAAAAACCTGGTGTGTATGACTTGCCATTCACAACAGGGGAAGACCTTTTTGCAAATGGATTTAAAATTAAAATTCTAAAAGCACTAGCCAAACAGTGGACAATAAGCGGAATATGAACCAGCAGTGTGCCCTTGTTGCCACGAAAGTTAAGAGCATACTGGGCTGCATCAGTAGGAGTGTTGCCAGCAGATCAAGGGAAATGACTATTTCTCTCTATTCAGCAATGGTGAGGACACATCTGGAGTACTGTGTCCAATTTTGGGCCCCCCACTACAGAAAGGATGTGGACAAATTGGACAGAGTCTAGCAGAGGGTGACAACAATGGTGAGGGGGCTGGGGGACATGACTTAGGAGGAAAGACTGCTGGAACTGGGCTTATTTAGTCTAGAGAAGAGGAGACTGAGTAGAGATTTAATAGCAGCCTTCAACTACCTGAAGGGGGGTTCAAAACAGGATGGAGCTAGACTGTTCTCAGTGATGGTAGATGACAGAACAAAGCAACAGTGCCAAGTTGCAGCAAGGGAAGTTTAGGTTAGATATCAGGAAAAATTTGCTCACTAGGAGAGTAGTAAAATACTGAAACAGTTTACCCAGAGAGGTGATGGAAGTTCCATCTTTGGAGGTTTTTAAGACCCAGATAGACAAAGGTTTGGCTAGGATTAACTAGTTGGGGATGGTCTTGCTTTGAGCAGGGGGTTGGACTAGGTGACCTCCTGAGGTCCCTTCCAACTCTGATTTTCTCTGATTCTATGATTCAGACACATAGTTTCTATTTGCAACATAACCTGAGGAAAAGTGACCCTTCTAGTCTCAGGCATGGATAGACAATCACGTAGAACCTAGTACTTGAAAATGCTGAGTACCCCAGAACACTGTCCTCAACAGTGAAGTCAAGAGATCAGGACTCTCAGACCTTTGCAAGAGGCATGGGATGGATTGGATCTTTACTAACCTCAAACTGACCTTCAGTTCCAAGTGGTTTGCAGTCCAACATCTGAGGAATACTACATATCAGCTGTTACTAACAGCCACGACAACTCACAAGTCCCAGCTCTGGTTCCACTGCAGATATATGGAGAATTTTCTGTCTGACATAGGTGAGAGCAGAAGCAAGCCCATGATTAATACAAACTTTGACAAAATGATGTCATTCTGTGAAAGATGTGGAACTGGATTCACATTCCAGTATAAATCTGCTAAATCCTGACATTTTCTTCAGAACCCTCCTTAGAACCTGGTATGCCAACAATTGTTCCCACATGATTCTCAATAGCAATAATCCCTCATTGTTTTCCATCTGGACTGTCTTGACTCATTTCTCTCTCTCTCTCTCTCTCATCCAAATTAGCTCCTGACCCTAAAAAGTGCCAAAAACTGGCAGGATTTTTGGAGAGCCTCTAGTTCTCCCCAAAGTCACTGAGACTTGAAGGCATTCTTCCCTTCTCTGCAGGGCTAAGTACAGACTTAGAACTTCTGGGACAGAAGTTCAATAAACTAATTTAAATTAAATTAGTTAAGTCTGATACTATATCTATCCAGGTTTATCCGAAACCAGTTTTGGCCATTTTGAAAGTGATTTATGTGCACTGAACTTCTGTTATATTACAGATTTGAACCAGTTTCTGATCACTTGTACCGGTTTGTATGTAACTTCTGTCTCTAGTGCAGATATTCAGTACCTTGCATATCTTCTTCCTGTTCCTCAGTTTTGCCTGATTTCTATGGCAGCAGAAGCAGGGATATTGTGAGAATGCACTGGTAGCCTAAGGATAATGGACTCCATATAATTAAACAACCATTTAAAAAAACCTTGGGGCACCTAGCTTCACCCCACAATGAAGAGACAGGAATGTGTTACTAGTCCCTATGTTCAACCTCCTTTCAGCCACATTTTTAAAGCTATATACTGCTGGTGGGAATTACAGACTATGAACGTCATATCTTGTACAGCAAGCCAAACTCTGCCTGCATGTCAGATAAGTAGAAGGTCTGAAGTTGTCCTATAAAAAGCAGGATTCAGCCATGTGTTTCTAAAGTCCTGTGTAAAGGTATAGAGCTCTGCATCTTACATTAGTGTGTTCCACTCTCCCATGCCATGAAAGTGAAAATCTACAGGTGCTAGCTGTTTTCCTTTCTCCTTTACATCTGGTTGCAATATTTATGCCATTTTCTGCCTTTTTTAATCAAAGCAAAATGACTTAGTCCTTCTCTGTGATCTGTTTTCCTTAGTAGATACTACTGGCATAAGCTCAGACATGGTAGTGAGGATAAATAATTGGAGACTGAGGTATTTTGGTACAGAGACAATTGTTACACTTACGGGGAGGCTTTTAGCAAAATGAAAACAGTCACAAGGGCTACCCTTTGATATCCCAGAAGGCTCTGTCCATCACACATTACCAGTTACTAGCTCCAACTCCCTCAATGCACTCACTGTGCATTCAAAATATTTGTGAATTAAAAACCAAATTTGTAGCCACAAGATATGAGGCATAAGCTTCTTTTCCCTATACCTGGCAAACAGGAAGACTGTGGGAGGCTAAAGAGGGAGAGAAAGAATCCATAAAATGAAATGGGGTTGAAATTCTTCTGCCCTTACTCAACTCTTCTGAAGGCTGAGCTGGTCCTGGCCCCTGCAGTGATGATGCTGTGCACTACCCAATACATAACTTCGCTGTTTTGGCACACAGCACACACTTGGTATACAACCAGGGAAATGGGCCTTGAGGACATGCAAGGAGCAGATATAAAGGAGAAGGGTCTAAAGCTCAGGAGTTTACTACTGGAACACTGGACCTGGTTACCAGTTCAAAGCTGGTTCAAGACAATGTTGAATAGAAGTGTTTTTAAAATAAATGTGAGGTGTTTACCCCCGTTCTTAATGGATTTGTGCTCACATTACCACTGATTCCCATGTAAGAAGTCTCAACACAGAGACCTTGGAGTGAATGGGTCTGGAGACCAAGTTATACACTGTCCCACTCCAACGAGGGTTTAGACACAGAGAAAAGCAGTCCCATAAGGCTTATTCTAATGCATCCAATACCATGGTTGTCCATGACCAGCAGTCTTTCATTAAAAAGGGAATAATATAAATATTTGATCAGGATGCAAGAAAGACACCTCATTTATTCCATTTCCTGGCACGAAGCAATTCTCAGGGGCCTCCTGTGCCAGAGACAGTTCCCTACAATAGAAGAAATTAGCAGCTACCAGAGGTGTCAGACCCATTCCTCTTCAGTAGCTCAGTCCCCCCACATAAGAGAAGAGGAAAAACAAGAGCATATATAGACTGTGAGAACCAAGAACATGGCCACTGCCTAAGGACACTTTCATGGTATGGGACACTGAGTGCCATATAATTGAATGACCATTTCAAGAGCTTGGAGCCACTGGATCCTTTCCCTGACTACCCAACAAGAAAGAGATTAGGGCTTGCCTATAATTGCTATTTTCAGCTTCCTTTCAGACACATTTTTAAAGCTATGGACGGGGCCTGAGGCAAAACTTGGGCAGTTTTAATGATACCCATGTTAACTACCTGATGATAAACATTCACTCATTCTTGCTCCCATCCCTGTTGTTAGGAGAGTCCCTGATCTTCTCCCCAAGTAAATCTTAGGTTTTTCATGCACACCTGGGTCACCACTGCACTTTTCCCCACATTGACTGGGACCAGCACCTTACCGAACAGATGTAGAAGACAAACTCTCACCCCCACAGTCAAAATTCAAATGAAGAGTAAAGCGTGCTGTGAAGAGCCAAATGTCTCTAATCAAACTGTTCTACACACAGGCTACACAGTTCCTTTAGAAACAGAAAATGTGTGTCTCATATTTAGTTAATCCCTGATTCGCTCTGCAAATAACACCCCACCCAACCCAACCCTCTCCCCATTCTGTCTGTTCTTACTGGTGACTTTCCTTGCCATTGCCACACTAAATAGACCCTGCAGACACACATGCAGGCCACCAGCCTCCAAAGGGTACCCTATACAGATGGAAAGGAGGCTATAAATGCAATATAAGTAGCCCAAGGACCACACACTCCCCTCCCCTCCACTCCAGGGAAAGCAAACACACCACCACTTGCACAATGCACCACCCCCACCCCTCTCCCCAGCTGGATCAGACTGCTGATAGCCTATCCCCCTGCCCTGCTTTTTGCATAGGGTCTCCCCAGTTCATATGTAGGGAGTACAAGTCAACATGGCCCTCTGCTCTGCTTTTCACTGAGGTTAAGAATAGAAAAATATATTTGCAGCACCATTTCCCAAAGGATTTTGGGGTCCACTGTGGCCCTTGATGCCTGGAGAATAGCAGCCGATGAGTGAGAACTGAGTTGAGGAGTAAAGATCCTTATCTGGCGTGTTTTCTTTTATTGCTTGAAAAAGCCTCTTGGTAGCACCTTGGAAGGAAATGGCCCCCTTTACCTCAAGCTGCACTTGGAAGTAACCAACCCCAGGTTACTTTAGCTGTGTGAGCTCAGCCATTGTTTGTGGTTGACACAGTAACCGGTGCCATTTCTTCCTCTGATCTTCTTTTTTTTTTTTTTTTTTTTGTCGATAAAGAATTAAAAAGTGCCACAGCCAAAAAAATTATAAAATGAAGCCATTTTTCCTGTAGTTTTTTTTTGCTTGCCTGTTTGTTTTTCAAATGTGTATCTCACTGATTCCCGAAAGCAGCTCAGAACCATGGCAGCTCTGCCCCTGTAAACTGTCGGAGAGAGAGACACTGGGAAAACCATTTCATGTCACAACAGGGGAAGAGGTCCTGAGAGTGCCACTTGGCTGCTTGGACCCTGTAGTGTCCCTTCGCTGCTGCACTGCACCCTGGGAAGGAAAAGAGGACTCACTTTCACTCTGCACAACAGCAGAAGTTTTGCTCAAGGCAGTAGGGAACCAATGAAAAGCAAGGCTGCCTGAGAGCTCCCCAGAACTCTGCCCTGCTGCAGCCTGCCGGCTAGGAGGTAGTAATCTTGAGGTGTCCACGTATGAAGTACCACTGACTGCAGTGCCCCGAGAATGGGTGGCAATATTAGCCCAAGCGGCTCCATGTGCAGCTGAACCTTCCATACTGGGAGGCAAAGCATAAGCAGCCTGGGATTTATCTGTCTCTTTGGCAGCCCTGCCTTCTATCCTCTGTGGGTGGTTCTGGACAGTAGGATGAACAGGCAACGCTGGAATGGGGCTGGGAAGGATGGTGTCGTCCTGCAATCCAGTCTCTAAAGCACCTTGGCCTGTGCTGGGCGGCAAGCTGGTGGCAGAAACCTTCTTACCACAAGACTCACAGCAGAGTTTGTTGTAGCCAGGGATGGAGCAGTAGCGAGCCAGAACTTCCATCTGGCAGAATATGGACTTGTCTCCAAGGCAAGGCTCCTCTGAGACAAGAAGAGTTATAGACAAGACAGTGAGTATCACCCGGGTCTATAATGATGATGTACACAATGCATAATCAAATAAATAACAACCTCAAATTACAGGATATATGGTTTTTACATTTTCCCACAAAACTACTTTCAGAGTGAAATCTCATTACATTTGGCATCATGCCCTGACTAGAGTCAGCCAAAGATCAAAAGATTCAAGGGGTTTTTTTAAGTATCCCAAACTGGATAGTTATCTGACTATCTCATATGTCTAGACCTTGTGAAAACAGACTTTCTATTTTGGGGCATGTCAAATGCACTTGTCTGCTCAGAGGAAGGTGTGAGAGAGGTACAAAAATATGACTGCATTTAGAAAAAGAATGTGCCATCCCCAAAGGTATCACTTCACAGTATTAAGTTATACCCATTTCCAAACAAAATCAGGGAGTGCAGAGATGAATAAAAGTTTTCTTAAATGAATCAAAATGGTGAAATGTTTGGCCCAGGGGATTAACCATAGGATGCAAGACCTCTCACCATTAGGACATCAGCTCAAAAAGGAAAATAATTTAGATAAAGTTTACAAACTCCAGATGCAGCCTACTAAACATTTTTACTTTTGTGATTATTGTAATGGACAACAATTAATTGTAAACATAGCAACTAAATATAAGCAAATGACTCTGTCCTGTTTACTTTTGTAAATGAAGTTAGTCTGGATTCATATTAATAGAGACATCCATCCATTCAAAAAGCTAAAGCAAAACTAGTGGAAGCCTGCTCTCCCCACCATCCCAGCCCCATGTCAATAGGCCTCTACAATGTTAAGGGGCAAACATTTTTAGGAATGAGAAATTAATTTATTCATTTAAGGTCTATTTCAAAGCCCTTCTAATATCCAGGAAGTCCTATTCACTTGAATGGAATGACTCCCCAGTTTAAAGTTATGTATGTACTAAAGTGTGTTGCTGAATTGACACTTGGGCTAGGCTCCTTGTCTTCCTCATTTCTGTAAAGAAGCAAACCGACTTTTGGGATCATATTATCAATAAAATACCAAGAATACCATTTGGTCTGTTCAGCTATTGACATTTGCCCAATGATTAATTGAGACTACCAACTTGAGAATGGCCATTCAATAACAACCTTCTATCACTACCTGAGTCAGATTTTAAATAATGTGAAGTTATGCATTCCCTCTCACAATAGCCATCTGTAACAGAGGGCCCTTCTCAGGGCCGATTTGCCTTTGGCCCGCCCACCTGTTTCTGGGCCGATCGCCCACCTTCTCACCCACCACATCTTGATGATAATTAAATTAAGATATTAATTAGGCAGGAGGCTGCCCATTTCTTGCCCCAGTGCCAGGGGGGCGCTATCTGCGGCTCCGTTCCTCCCCTACACCATGGTCCAAACCTCGCAGATGGCATCCACTAGTTGTTAATCTCACCGGCCCCACTCTGGGCCCCAGAATCCTCCAGTCTGAACCCCACCTGGATCCCTCCACTTACGTGGCCTACTCCGCCCTCATTCGGGGCTGCCTAGCTCCCTGAGTTGTTCCCCCTTGCGGGTGTGGTTCCCCCGGGTTCTTTGGCCATACTGGCCCTGGCCTTGCCTCCAGGCCAGTCAAAACCCCAGGCCCTCAGCTCTGGGTGTCCCTCACAGTGGGCCCCCGGCCCTCTGCCCCTTCCACTCCTGGCCCCAGCATTGACCAGTCAAGGGATTTCAAGTCAGGCTTTTGAGGGTATAGCCCTTTCTCTCTTGGGTCCGCCTTCCTGACCCTTCTATGGGGTAACCCACCTGATTGTGGGAGCTAGGGTTATTAAGGCACCACGACCTGCCTTTCACCAGAGTGGCAACTGGCCTAGCATTTCCTGGGGGCTCCCACACCACTGGGAGGCCCACCAGGCCACCCACTCCTGGCAGGTCATGCCCAGGACCAGGAGCCTCCAGCCCATCCCCTACAGCTCCTGCCCTTACCTCCAGAATCTTGCATGCAGCCTTGCAGCCAGGCAATGTTACTGCCTGGCCTGCCAGCAGTGAGCTGTTCTGGTTATATAGACGGCCAGAGATCTAAAATATGGCTGCCGCAATCAAGCACCTGCTGGCTGCTTGGCTGAGTCCTTAAAGTGGCAGGGACCAACAGTGCCCTGCCACACCATCCCATTTCTTGCTCCAGCATACTTAAAGGCAAGGAAAAGGCCATCTGACCTAGCAAGTTACTGTCCTTTGAACAATGTTAAGGCTTTAAAATCCATGACTGTGTTTACAAAGGGGAGAAAAGGGGGAGATGGAGAAAAAGAAAAAATACTCTGGGCAAAAAACACTGGAGTTTGGTTAAGAGAGAAGTCTGTATCATGATGGATCCCCTCAAGTGAGTATTCCAGCAATGAACAGTTATAATTCTGATCCAGAATTGGGGGACTGTTTTGGAAACAACTACTCTCCTTTATCCCTTGCAGTCTCCTTACACTTCCCCCTCTTGCACCTCCCAAAAGCATGGTGTCAAAGCCAGAAATCAGACTGGTGTTATCCCTGTGGAATATGCCAGTGATGGTCCAGGATCACCAGGAAGGATTAAGAGAAGACTGAAATGAATGTGAAATGGGGGAAATATGGAGATGATGTATACAAACAAATAACAGTAACCAACATTTTCCTAAATAAAGACCTGATGTCCATTATGACAGACCAATTCAATAGCATGTTTTCATCCTCCTAGGTATTAAGTCAATCCTTGCAGTTGAAAGGCCACTAGATGGCATCCCTATTTCAAGGTTAGAAAGAAAAGTGAGCAAGGACACAAAAGTGACTTGAATTTTCAGAGGGAAACCTCTGGAAAGTCTGGGCAGTAGCATAACTGAGTGGGGGGCATAGTCCCAGACATGGCCTTTGTGCAGGAGAAGAAGAGTGGGGTGCAAAAATCACCGCTGCTACAGCTGCCATTTAACCACCTCACCTCCCACCACAAACAGCATCATCCACAATGGGGAAGATGGTAGAAAAAAAGAACAAGGCAGGGAACCTATACCTCATTACTCAAGGAGTTGTTTTCTCAACACTCAGTTCAGGGGAGTGTTGAACAGTAAACTGCAGAACCAAAAAGCGTGGTAGTAATCTATTTTCCGCTGTTTAGTTATTTCCGCACCAGAAATACATTTGATCTTGGAAGAGGAGAACAGGAATGTTGGTGGTTTATAAACTTTTTACAAGCAGAATCTTCTCCTGTGTGATTCAGGTTCTCACTTAAGCAGTGAGCAAAAAAAGACATGTCTGATTCTTATAAAGAGGATTACTTACTTGAAGATACCTTGTTAACGGGATTTTTGGGCCCATCCTGTGGCACCCACTGTACTTTAGGAGTCACATGATCACTGTTGTCAGCATTCTCTGTAATACTTAGTTGCTTTCCTGAATGTGGAACAAGGTAAAAAGTGTTGTCATCATCATTACCTAATAAGAAGCATTTCCAAAACAATACAAGAGGGGAGGAGGTATCCATGCAATACAGACTTTTCACCTCTAAAGGAAGAAGTCAAGACTTAAAAGTAACTCGTGTTTTGGGGTGCCCCAGTTTTTGAGTGTTTAACTGAAGACACTTTAAAAAGGAAAGTGATTTTCAGAGAGGTTTTCAGAGAGCTTTCTTTCAATCAAACCCTTATAAGGAACTTCAGGCCAAGTACCCAAAAGCCTTTTAAACATCCTGGAGTTATATTAAAATAAATGTGCTGGTGTCACCTTAGTCCCTAACTATTGATATCACAAAAGTACTCAAAAATGTTATATGACCCCTAGTTAAAGAAAGGACAGAGACTGAAAAAACAAGGGTTCTATAAGTCCAGGTAATGACTATCCCATAGGTTAATCTTTTCTTTGCTGGTCCTCAGGGTCACTTGCTGGGCTTCCATGATTTAATCAAGAATCCTCTGAGTCTGAAGGAATGTAAGGGCTGAAGCCCAGATACTTAAAAGTATTTAGGTGCCTAACTCCCATTTCAAAATATGAGCTGTAAGGCATGAAGACCTGGGCTTCACTGACTATAGTACAGTCAGAAGCACAGCAGACATAGCCTCTCTCAACAGGGGAAGCAGCTGTTTTAAATTGAGACAAACTGGAATAATGAATACCCACTATTTCATTAAATGGATTCCAAATCTTTAACATATATCTGAATCTTTAGCATATATATTGTAATAGCTTCTCTCTAGGCCTCAGTAAGTCAATTATTTCAACGTCTATAGCCTTACAACCCAGCACAGCTGGTCTAAATAGGTGTAAATGAATGGAAAGGGGTCCAACTTACTCCACCTTACTGCTCACTTCTGACTTTGGCTCCTGACTGACTGCAGGAGCGTCTGCCCCAGTGAAATTTCACCTTCTCTCTCACCTGGGCATACCGGCATTTTGCAGACTTGGATGGTTGCTGGTTTCTCACCCTCACACTGACCAATGCTGTTGTCACTGGCTTTGCATACCACCTGGCGCTGCTGGATACCTTCTCCACAACTTACTGAGCACTGTAGCAAACCATCAAGGAAGGAGAGAAATGCATCGGTCAGTGATGGAGGAAAAAGCAGGGAGGGATGTATTGAAATGTATCTCATATGGAAAAGGGCTACACAAAAGAACATTGTTTGCAGCTGTGCTGTGCACCTCTCTAAGGTCATGTATGTAAATGTAAACAAATCAGCATTCAAATTGCTTCTTGTGAAATTTATCCTATGGCCGGGACACTGCTAAAACTTTCAAGATGACATTCATCCCTATATGATAGAGATATTCCTGCCTTCTCAAACACTTAAGGTGAACTAAATGCCAAGTATTTTCAAACATGCACTCTTAAGGTAGTCACTGGTCAGCCTTTAAAAAGGACTTCCTTCCCCCCCATCCCTACTCTGCCACAAATTTCTCAGCTCTCCAGTGTGGGGACAGAGGTATTTATCCTGCCCACTTCCACACACTGGTCTGCCTGTAAATAGATTACATGGAAAGCTACTTTACTGTTATTTTTGCACAAAGCCTAGCAATAAATGCCATCAGCTGTCCATGCTATTATCTAGTTCACTAACTCATGTGCTCCTTCCATCAACACATAACAAATATATTCCTCTCACAGATCTCAGCCCTTACAGCCTGGTCCAATGGGAGTCTTCCCATTAACTTTGCTGAGCTTTGGATCAGGACCTTAGTGCAGGGGTGGCAAACTCACCCAGCCCTGCAGGCCAGATGTGGGTTACTGAGCTGATCTGTTGGTCAGACCAGGACCGACTCCCCATGCAGCACATATGGTGCCAGGCCCAGCCTGTGTGCCATGCAGCAAGCATCATCCCTGGGCTCAGTGTGCATAGAGCATGCATGGTGGCAAGGGGCATGTGCTGCCCATGCCATGCAGACTGGACTTGGCACTGCAGGCAGCCTGGGTGGGGGTCAGTCTAGGGTGCCACATGCAGACTGCACCCCAGGCGCCCTGTGCTTCCTTGGGCTTACTCCCTGTGCTATGTGCAGGGCATGTGGTGCTGGGTCCAGCCCATGTGCCACATGCAACACACAGGGCTGAAGCATGGGGTTAATCCAGTAACCCTCAGGCTGTGTGTTTAACACCCCTTCCTTAGAGTAAACATGTCTCCTCACAATGTGACATGGGGAGTGTTGTTTGAACATCCTTCCTAACAGTGAAAAGGCTCTCAGCAGCTTCAGAGCAAGTGATATTACCATGTAAAAACTAGAGTTGCTCAGCCAGGCTGCCTGCCACCAACAAGCCCTGTTTGGTGGGTGTAGTTTGGCAGTGAAGGCTATGCAGAGGTACGAGCAGCTGTTTTCAAAGCGAGCATCAGGTTTGTGAAGCGTTTTGGAGAATGTAGATCCACAGACCTTGAAATAAAGCTTTAATACATATTTGTCCTGTGCTTATCACAGAAGCTGAAGGAACTCACCTGGGACCAGGCCCCAGTCCTCCATTGGGCTGGACAGGGTAAGCGGTTGCAAGGCCTGCGTGTGTCAGGGCGCTCTCCTGTGCAATACTTGGTGTGCACCGTCCGGTTCGTGCCATTCTGGAGGTGTTGGACACACTGCACAACCCTCATCTGAATGCCCAGCTTGCCACAGGATTTGCTGCAGGCTCCCCACTCTTCTGCCAACCAGCTGAATAATGAAAATACCACTCCGTCAGCTTGTTGAAGGGAAGGACTTTCTGGTTGGCAGAACCAGAACGGTAAGATCTCTCTGGAACACTGAGATCCAAGTTGTATGAAGGTGAGGTCTGTGCTTTGACATTACCACTTGCAGCACAGTCTCCAAACTAAAAAGTTAGATCTTCAGATGGTGTGATCAGCCCAGCACCACTGAAATCAATGAAACTACTTGATTTGCAGAAACTGAGGCTCAGCCTAGATCTAGGACCCTCAGGGTCTTCTAGGACCCTTTCTATTCTAACACATTTCACTCAAGTAGGCCAAACAATGGGTGGTTTGTCTTGGTCCCTCTCAGAGCTTGCATAATCTGCTAGGTTATGTTTTCCAAGACTTGCATTGTAGTCAATTCCCTTCCAAATGTCCCCAGATTATCTGGACAGGGCTGTGTCACCTAGATGTTGTCACTTTAGAGGACAGGGAAAAGTATTTAAATTAATACAACTTCACTCTGCAATGCCTCTACCTCTTTGTCTTGCAAGGGAGGAAGGAGAAAGGCTAGCTATGGCACTACTGTGGGAAAATGACGAGACCTTCTTTTCTTAACCCTTACCACTTTCATGCAGGCACTAAAAAACCAGCAAGAGGAAGTGCCATGAAGGTAGGGGAGAGAACTTACATGGGCTGGGAGCACTCCTGCAGGTTACATCGCCTCCGGATTGGCTTGGGCTTCTTGCCATTATCACAAAAGTTCCGATGCACCATCCGATTATCACTTTTCCTCCGACAGCCATACTTGGTGTACTGGATACCTGAAGGAACCAGATCAAGGAAGATACACAAAGGGTGAGGGAACTATTAGTATGATCAAGACTTGGCTTAGAACTGCAATTTCACAACCAACAGCTGGACTTCCCTAACTAACTAGCTCCTCCTGCTTTTCACTATGACATTTGCATTTTAACTGTGGAGCTCAGCATTTCATAGAAGGAGCTTTAATGCAGCCACACAATGATTCCTCCATGCTATAAGGCACAAAGGTATAAACACATTTGTAGTCAGCAAGCAGATGGTGGGAAGATATTGCTACTAAGTCAGAAATACCCTCTGATACCTACTCCTGCTTGACCTTTAGGAATTATGGCAAATGGGTAATACCATCAATTCATCCCTGTAGGTCTGGGGCCAAATTCTTGACTGCATCCAAGTTCTGTTCTAGCAGGGAGTAATTCCAATATAAGCCACAGGTATAAACTCTTTGGAGACTATGGAGTGCATTTAGCAGATTGTCCCCTTAGCTCCAGTTCATATTATGGCTTTCAGTGAAAAGAGCTGAGTGGGCCCCAGCCCAGTTTAGTTCCCCCAGTAGAAAAAAATCCACATCATAAAAACAACATTGCTACCATTTGGCAAACTGGCTGCACTTACTTGGGAATAGACTCTGCCACTTTATTATGGCAGACATCTATTCACTCTGTGACAGAAGAATACAAGCAGCCTGAGCTGCTTGCACACTCCAACCACCCCAGGCAGGTGTTCTAGGGGCTTGAGAGCCCCTCAAGCCCCCAGAACACCTACCCAGCTCTGCATGCTTACAGAGAGGCACCCCAGGGAATCTCACCAAGACCCAACCCCAGCAATCACTGGAGCAAGTCTGGCTGAGTGGGGAAAGCCAATCATGGGGATGGATCTGGCTGAGCCCAAAACCACATCCAGAGATCACATCATCCCTTGTTCCACACCACCAAAGGCAGGACAAGGGACAACGTGCATTTTGCCCAGTAAAGCAGATCAGCGGTGCTGAGACACATCACAGTACAGCTGATCCACTTCATTTAGCAATGTCTGTTTCTAGCCAAAAAATAATACTTTCAGTGATCCTACTTAACCAAGTCCACAAAACCTGCTAGTGCTTCTAATGTGGGCAAATCCTACATTTGTACATAGAAATTTGTACCATATGCAGAATTACTTCTTTTAAGTGTGCAAAATCCATTCAAAATTATGTATGCATAATTAAAAATGCATGCTGAAAAATTTGTCCTTGTGCATATAGAGTAAGGCTGTTTCAAAGAAGGCTTGGCAATAATTGTTCATATCTTTATAATGGATGCTCGCATTACCCTGCATTAAATCCCAGGTTCCAAGAATCCACAGAAATCATAAGCATGTGAAAGCATAGAGACTGCATCAAAGCAGATTTAGAAATGAAGTACATCAGAATAGTGCAAAGGAAATTTGACTCTCTCAAAATTTATCTCAATTTATCTCAAATGAGATAAGATTAAGGCCTGGAATTGCTCAGGAAGAGGACTATTCAGATATTTAGAAGCCAGGGGCTGATGGGATTCTTCTAATGTCCTATATGTCCAAGATATCTGAGAGCTACACATGTGTGACTATGTAGTAAGACAAAAGGCAGGTTAGATTTGCATCTTATAGACTAACTAACTCAGAGCTGTATTGCATAAGCTTTCATATGGAGAGAACTTACTTCATCAGATGCTGTGAAGTAAGCCCTGTGCTTACAGAAGTTTATACTGTATATCTCTGGTGTGATTAGTGTCAGGGTTCAAATTACACTTTGACTGTTGGGGAGGGGTCTGCAAAAAAATGAAACCAGTTCATTGATTAACAAGTCCATCTAAGTGAAGGAGCAATCCAATCAGAGATCCCCCCCCAGGTTATGATTTTCAAATCTTACAGGTGGGGGGTCTCATCTCTTGGGGGCGGGGAGGGCTCCGCCGCCCCAGCTTCCCCTTAATTCACACCCTGATTAGTGTATAAGGTATAAATCTACCCTGCCTTCTGCCTGACTTCAGACTATCATGGCTAACTATTTCTCAATGTAGTAAGAAACATAAAAGAGAAAGAGACCTCCTCCACAAGCCTTGGAGCACTGCGACCAGCTCTTGAGAGCCCACTCATAGGTGTCCATCTCTTCAAGAAGGACATTATTGTTTCCAATCATAGGCAGCAAGTCCTCATGGATGATGTATTTATACATCAAGCTGCTCATAAATTCATCTTCCTGTGGGATAACCTGCAATCAAAGGGATAAAAAACAAGGAAGGGGCAGTGGGAAGAGAGAAAGAAAAAATGAAAAAGTGGGAAATAGTGCAAGAGATGGGAGGAAAGGGATTAGAAAGGAGAAAACAAACAAGAAATATAATAATTTATCACACAGATACATAGCATAAAAAAGTAATGGAAAAGAAAGTAGAAGAAAGAAATGAAACCAGAATAGCAGAAAAAAAAAAAGAGGAAAAAGAGCTGATATGAAGAAATCCTGATCCAATTGAAATTTTTCATCCAAAATGATCAGAAGGACCATAAAATGCACAATATACACAATATACAGTATATACCCAATATACTCTGTGTTCTACCTCTTGGCACTGTGGCAGGCCAGTAGGGGATGCTCCTGTGCTGAGCCACCCACCTCACTGCACCCCACCAAAAACCAACCTTCGAGTGCCTCCCCTGGGGTGCCTAGGTCTGGCCAACTCCCTTCCTGGAGCACACCAGCAAGCCTGGGG